TGTTGGTAACTCTTCCCATTGTCTTCCATATCTCAGTTATTTTCCTTTGCTCTTGCCATATTTAGTTTTTCAATTTTCATTCTGTTCGTATGCTGTTTTCCTTACTCCTTAGAAGGGCCTCCAAGAGATCTCTCTTGTTGATTTTAGAGCCCCAGTGGTTGTTTGTAAATTATTCTTCACTTAGTTGATCTACTTCTTGACTCTACTGTAGGGAATTGGTATGGACTCAATTATGCCCCTCAAATATGTGTTATAGACCTTAAGGGTCACCTATATTTTATTTATATGATTGAGAAAATGAGATTTTGGATTTAAGAGTTAATTTCAGACTTTTGGGATGTTGTGATGTGGTAAATGTGTTCACATATGGAAGGATGTGAATTTGGGGCCAAAGAGTGGAGTGTTGTGAATTGAATTGTGTACTCCAGAAATATGTGTTGTAAATTCGGTTTTCTATGCTTTTGCTTATAAATGGATTGTCTTTGTTATGCTAAGGAGGCAGGATTAGTACAAGGTGAATCTTGAGTCAATCCTGAGTCAAACTCTTGAGATATAAAAGAGATTTAAAAAAATGGTCAAAGATGGGATAAGATAGATGCTGAAACACCTGGGAAAGGTTGAGGAACCATGAAACTGAAGAGGTAAGGACCTTCCTCCAGAGCCAGCAGAAAGCCTTCACCTAGAGCTAGCATTGCACATTCTGAGTGTTAGCTTCCAGTTAACTGTGAGAAAATAAATGTCTGTTTGCTAAAGCCAGCCACTTGTGGTAGTTTTGATGCAGGAGCACTGGATAACTAAGAAAGGAACCTTCTGGAGGAGTTTGTATCAGTTCAGTGGCGAATTGTTACAGCTGGGAGAGGGTTGGCCTGGGGATAGTCATGTTCCAAACAGCCCCCAGCCCCTGGTGAGGTCAGCCTTGTTATGAGAGCCCAGCCCATAGTGTGCTGTCTGTGTGTGTGTGGTTTCCAATCAGGCACACAGCATCCTTACTCAGCCTTTAGCAGCAAGTGTAAGGGAGAGCAGAAAGACTAACACTGAGCCTCAGGGATGTCTATTGCCAGCAGAATATTGGCTTCAGAGGGAGGCAGGTAGAGTGCTTACTATGGGGGCAAACCTCCATTGTGAGACCCTCTAGTCCAGGAGTCGGCAAACTGGCTCAAGAGACATGCAGCTGTGTTGGCGCATACTTGTGGCTTTGAGGTAAAATTAAAAATGAAACTATCACAGTTTCATTTATAAAATTTTTAAAGAATGATATTCATTAATGGTGATTTTGTTTGCAATAGTTTTTAATTGTTGTAAGGGACAGGATTGACTCTTCTGTCTCAAAAGTTTGCCGACCCCTGTTCTAGACAGTTTGCAGCAGTCTGGTAACGAACAGTGACCAGGTGTGGCCACACTGTTCGGATTCTCCACGGAAGACTACCTTGCTAACAGAGCGCCCCTACTCGATTGTTTGGCTGTGTGACCTCTACTTCATAAGCAGCCTCAGACCACAGTCCTCAGTTTATGCTTGCAATAGGAGCAGACTTGGTCTCAGCTGCCAGAGCTATTGGGGGTGTCTAGGGGAGCAAGTAGAGTGTAGTAGCAGTGGTAGCAGACTCTGCAGAGCTCTTGCTGTAGGAATTCACTTCACAATAGACTTGCAGTTGAGAGAGAGGCTGTCATGCTCCGAAAGGGCCTCTGGGAAGGTTTGTCTTTATGCTAGCAGAGCCCTCTCTGTAGTATATTTTCAAAGGTATAGCCTCCACTATAGATACCTGCTTCTTAGCACACTGTTCTCTGTCAGCATCCTTAGCACCAGCAGGAATGGAAGCCTGAGACCCAAACGGACTACCCAGAATGTCTCTCCATTTGCTTTCAAAGACCTGTGCTATTAATGCACCAAGAGGCAAGTGGAATGCTTACTATGAGAGCAGGTTCTACTGCATGAGCCTTAGTAATTTGTAGTTGACGTGCAGCTAACACTGTTTAGGTGGGGTAGGTGCTAACACCTTCCAAACAGACCCCTGGAGAGGCCTGCCTCGTTGGTTTTAGAGCATAAGCTTGGGGTCCTGGCTGTACAAGTAGGGGCTGTTGTGGTTAGAAACACTGGCTTTTTTTTTTTTTTCTGGGACCACTTCTACAGTTTATATCACCGGAGCCTGTGCACGCCCTGCTTGGATGGGGGAGGGGCAAAGGTGGTAAAGGAAGTGATTCTCCAAGGTATAGAACTTGTTGATTTCTTGAGTTTTGCCTATCTCTGCTTCTGATTCAAAGTCCCTGAAAGCCTTGTTTTCCAGAGGGAATCTGAAAGATTGTTTATGCTGTCATGTTCTGATAATCCAGTTCCCTCTTTTTAGTCGCAGAGTTAAGACTTCAAGACAGGCTTAAACCGATCCCCCAGTTTTCAGAGACATATTCCATTGACGTCTCTCTCCCTTGAGGCTTTCTTCTCCTGTAAAGATTTACAGTCTTGGAAAGCTTAGGGACAGTTCTATGTCCTGAAAGGTCACTAGGAGTTGGAATCAACTTGATGGCAATGAGTTTGTTTTTTCGAATAGTAACATGGTGCTTGGTATATGTGTACATGCATGCACACACACAGGTGCCCCCCCTCACATACATGTAAAGCATTTTATCTATTCTAAAAAATTTAATAATTCAGTATAATATGCGTATAGTTTATAGTGTTTTATTTTTTATCCACCTCAGTATTTGCAGTGACATACCTTCTTATTGGTACTTCATCCATTATTTTATGACCTCTATTTAAAGTCCCCATTTAAAAAGCAACTCAAATCATTGATATTTATGGAAAACTGGGAGCTGAACTCTAAAATTAATCATACAAAGAATTCTTTAATGTTTATGCTTTTTCTTTTTTCTTTTGCAGTGCATCATATATTTACATTTCATTGTGTTAAACATTGTAGATTTAATATGTTTACCAAATGGTTTTACTGATTGTATGACAACATCATGCAAAAAATCGTTGCCATTTTCATTTATAGCAGTGGTTCTCAACCTATTTCCGATGGTCTTAGGAACTGAGACAGCGCTCCTCTACCCATCTCAGATACACCTACATACAAGTATCCGGTGTGAAGACTCTTAACCATGCTACACCATGCTTCAAGACAAAATTTCATTTCTTTGTCATTAGAAATAAATACTTCACAATATATAATTACATATTGTTTTTGTGATTAATCACTATGCTTTTTTTATGTTCAATTTGTAACAATGAAAATATGTCCTGCATATCAGTTATTTACATGATGATTCATAACAGTAACAAAATTACAGTTATGAAGTAGTAACGATAATAATGTTATGGTTGTGGGGGTCACCACAACATGAGGAACTGTATAGAAAGGTCGCGGCATTAGGAAGGTTGAGAACCACTGATTTATAGAATTTACCCTTAGAATCTTCAGTACCTTTTAGCTTTTGATTCAGTAAACATACTATAGAGTATTTCTTTGAAACTAATGTAATTTGCCATACTCATTTAATGACAGGAACAATTACTTTAACCTACAGACTGAGTTAAAGATTTAGGAATATTAAGCAAGCTGCTAAATGAAAAACCCTATGTTGCCACTAGAGGGTAGTGTTTCTAATTTATATTTTTACAAATGACTCAGATGAATTTATTCAGAAAAAACACTAGTCACAAGTGTAAATTTATTTTAAAAGATCCTATTTTCTTTTTTTAAATTGTTTTATTAACAACTACGCCTTTTATCACAATCCATACAGACATCAATTGTGTAAAGCACATTTGTACATTCATTGCCCTCGTAAAAGATCCTATTTTCATAATCTCAAACAGGCCCTCAAAAATTTACACTAGTTAATGGAAATGATTTATAATGTTCCTCAATAAAATGATAAGGATGTCTCTTAAGTGGTCCAGGGACATATATAAATCAGATATATATGAATGGATTTAGAGCTAGCACATAATCATACCCCTAATCTAAGGGTAGTTAGTTCTTATGGCATGGAACTACTTGATATTTTCTCTTCTGAAGAGATAACTGAAGATATAGTAGGTGTTATATCAAGGTATGGTAAATCAAATGGTGCATAAATAGTAGAAAGAATAGTATCTTAAAGGGCCTTCAAAGCTTGTCTTCAAACAAGCAGTCATCTAAGTGAGATGTCTGCTAAGTTCACACGGGAGAAGCACTGCAGTCTTTGTGATCCAAGGATTGTAAATAATAAAATCCAACACTGGAGAAGGGAACAGTCTTGCCATCAGGTCATGCTGACTCAGTGACCCTTGTGGTATCGGGATAGAGCAGCCCCTGTGACTTTCCAAGACTGTAACTGTTTATAGGAGTAGAAAACCCCATATTTCTCCTGAGGAGCAACTAGTCTTTCAAACTTAGGATCTTGGATGGTAGACATCCAGCTCCTGGAAACAATAGTATTAGAGCTTAAATTCTGAGCACTCATGTTGTAGAAGACGTGGTCCCTATTTGGATTAAGCCACTGGTGAGTCCCCGTCTCCCCACCACCACCACCACCATTGACCAGAGATGCAAATAGCCTTGCTATCGGACACATTGTATTGGAAAATGGATTAATGCAGGTGCAGTTAAGTTAAAATGTTTGTTCTCCCTTTTGAGCCATTTAAAATTTGTTCTAATTTTTAATATTTTCTGCTTTTTTCTGTTGTGTCTTTGTTTTTATTTTGTTATTGATTTTTGGATTTTGGCTTATTTTTCTGTATATAAAATTGAAGATAGGGAAGTCTGTAGGGACAGTAACTGGATTCATAGTTTCTTAGGCTATTGCTGTGCAGATTGGAGGGAAATGGGGAACCATTCATAATGAGAACAAGAAGTATAAATGTTCTAAAATTGATTTTAGTAATGATTGCACAACTTATTACTATGATTAAACCATTGGATTGTATGTGAATTAAGTATCAGTAAAACTGTTAACCTTTTTACTAGTTAATCAGTGGGTCAATGTATTTTAATCTAATTCCAATTCTCTTTCTTTAGCCCATTATTCCTATGTTTACACAAAATATTCGGGAAGGATTTCGATCACTTGGAGGAACAAGTAAGTTATGAATTGTGATTTTTTTTCTAAATCAAGTATAATATTTAAAATGCAATACTATATTTAAAATATCCAGGTCTTGGACCCTTTTGAATTATTACTTCAGATAATAGATATAGTTTAAATAGTTTTTATTCTGCTAAAGGTTTAAATGATAACGGTTTTAAACTAATGACAGTTTATATTTTTGTTAAGAGTATTATATTTCATGAAGCTTATTTGTAGTGGTTTTTAAAGATTTCAGAGAGAATTATATAATTTTTTGCATTAACCCATGTTGTTGCGGCTTAGAACAAATTTGCATAATGCCCAGACTATCTTTTGAACTCTTCCCAGAAGAAATTGTAGTTTACAAAATGATGAAACAATATTGAACTCAGATTAACAACCTAATGACGTTTTGGTTTACGTCTATCACTTCTTATTATTTTAATACACTGTTCTCTTTCTTATCCTATATTACTAACAAAATACATTTTTAATATAATTTTAGGAGCAATGACAATTAGATGTACTATGTCTTCACAATGTCTGTTGTTTGATCTGTTCAGTATTACCACGTATTTATTAATTCCTGCCAAATTTCAGAGTTGGCCATTCGTGTTCATTAATTTTTGTTAGGTTAGTTTTATTTTTCCTATTTAAATGGTGTTTCTAGTTGTTTTGCTTAGTTTATTGGTGCTTTACAGTCTCATGTTTACAGAAATATCTGTTATGCTTTCATTTATTCTTTTATTCATTTAATGCATTTATTTGTGAGATTTCTAGAATCATCTGTTTATACCTTTTAGTTGCCAGTCATACCCTTTGTTTTGCAATGATAGTAATTGTTTTGCCTCTTTAAAGTTTTCATCATTTTAAAAACTCATCTTTTTAAGAAGTATTGCTTTCCATTTGTTGATATTGTGCTATCATCTTTAAAAGTCTTATATAATTAACTTGGATGCTTAAATCTATATACTCAGAATATTAGCTAACTAACTGATTTTATTTACTTTAAAACAGGGTTATTTAGATGGCTTTATGAAAAATTTCGTAATCCATTTGTTCCAATATATGGAGGTTTTCCAGTGAAGTTGCGTACTTATTTAGGTGATCCCATTCCATATGATCCAAAGATAACAGCAGAAGAATTAGCTGACAAGGTAAATTATGTTTTTCTTTTAATTGTTGTATTTTAAAATGTCATTTTGTATTCATTGATAAAGGCTGAATCCATGTTCTATGTCAGTGGTTCTCTACCAGGAGCAGTTTTGGCAAACCAAGAACATTTGACAATGTCTGAAGTTATTATTACCACATCAGGAGTTGAAGAGTGGGGTGTGCTACAACATGTGATATTTAGGCCAGGGATGCTGCTAAACATCTTATAGTATACAAAACAGCCTCTACAATAAAGAATTATTGTTTATTGAAAGTACCAGGGACTGCAAAAGAATGAACAGGATCTGTCTTGCAAGAAGTACAGGCAGAATGCTCCTTACTGGCAAGGATGACAAGACTTTTCACATACTGTAGAGATGTTGTATTAGTCTAGGTACTTTGGAGAAACAAATCCACAGCAACTCGTGTATAAGAGAGTTTTATGTAAAGGAAATGTGCATCACGAAAACATCCCAACCCAGTGCTGTCCAAGCCCACAAGTCCAACATTAACCCATTAACCCAACACCAGTCCACAAAGTCCTCCATCTCACACAACAGAGGCAATGATGCCGACTGCAGGAGGAAAGCTGAGTCAGTGAATGTGTAAGCATCTCAGCACTGGCAGGGGTCTCCACACGGCTGCTCCAGCACCCAGGGCTGCATTGGGATAGGTCCATGTGGCTTCTCCTTGGGGATGTCTTGTAGGAAGTCAATCTTGCAAGCTGAAGCAGGGAACTGCTAAGGTAGCTGCACCTGGTGCAACCATCACAAAGCAAGAGACCCGAGAACTAGAAAGGCGAGGCTCACCACCCATTTATCCCTCCGCCTTTCAATTAGCCCCACCTGTGATTATCAGCCAGGTTGGCACAATAAACTGAAAGACCAGTCCCTGGAGAACATCATGCTTGGTAAAGTGGAGGGACAGAAAAGGAGAAAGGTCCCTTACAAAATGGATGGAAACAGTGGCTACAGCAATGAGTTCAAAGAGAAGAAAATTTGTGAGGATGGCACATGAGCAGGCAGATTTTCATTCTGTTGAGTCGGAACTGACTTGATACCTAACACAGCACTGACAATTTAAAAGTTCAGTGAGAAACATTCAGAAGAAGAAAGAAAACTTTCACCTCCATGAAAAGAAAGAAATCATTCTTGTCATGTAGAACTATCCTAAAATAAAATAGTGTTTGAAGGTATAGGTTGTCAGTCAGATGATTCCAGCTCCAGTATTTGCCGGCTCTGTGACCCCAGGCCGCATGTGTTTTGGTCCTCTTATTTGCAGAGCAGGGCAGAGGATGCACTCCCCACTGAGATTTATTTGTGACACAGTCATGAAATCACCCAGACCAGTGTTTAGAGCAACACATGCCATATAAGTAGGCTGGCTGCTGTTGTTTTCTCAGGCACTGTTGATAAGGTGTTGCATGTTACAGTAATGACATGTTAATAGCAAGCTTTCCCAGTCTCTGCACCATTGACGTTTTGAGTCTTTGTTATGGCAGACTGTCAGGCTTATTATGGGATGTCTATCAGTACCCCTTCAAGGTGTATCCCTTTTTGTGTGTAAGCAGCATCCCTCAAAGTGAACACATTTCCGCGGAACATCCAATCTAAGACCAGACTACATAGGAAGAGTCAGTTATCCACTTCAGAGCATTAAGCCTCTGAAAACCTTGTGGATAGCATCAGAACATTGTCAGATACAGAAAATCCCATGAATAGCAACAGAAGATTGTCATAGATAGTGCCAGAAGATGAGTCCCTCGGATTGGAAGGCACTCAAAATATGATCGAAGAGCAGCCCAAAGCAGAGTTGCCATAATGATAAGGATGGAGTAAAGCCATTGGGAGTAAAGGCTTCAGGACCTTGATTTGCCACTGGGACACAACTTAAAGTGAGAGGAAATGGCTGCAAATGTCTATTGATAAGTGAAACCTGGCGTGTACAAAGTCTGAAACTAGGAATATTGGAAGTCATCAAAAATGAGATGGAAAGCATAAATGTCAATAGCGTAGGTGTCTGTGAGTTGAAATGGACTGGTATTGGCTATTTTGAATCAGAAAAGCATGTAGTTTGTGACAGATTCACGAGGAATTACATCACATTCATGGTCAGAAAGAACATTTCAAGATCTACCTGGGAAGGCAGTGCTATCTGTGATAGGATAAATACGAGGAAATCCAATCAGTACATCTGTTATTCAAACTTAATGCACCAAACCACTATGGCTACTGATGTAAATATTGAAGAATTTTATCAGTGTCTTCAGTATGAAACTCATCAAATATGCAGTCAAGAGGCATTGATAATTATTACCAATTGGAATGGAAAAAAAAGTCGTAAGGAATAGTACTTGTAAAATACAGCCATGGCAATATAAAGGAAGCAGAAATCGCTGGACAGAATTTTGTAAGATCAACAACTTCTTCATCACATGTACATTCTTTGAACAGCACAAGTGGAATACACAGAAATCAAATTGACTACATCTGTGTGAAGAGACAGTGGAGCAATTGCTGCGTCTTTCTTCTGCAGAGTGGCTGCTGGCTTTGAAGTGCTGATCTTTTGGTTTGCAACTGATGCTTATTTCATTATGTCGGTAGAGCTGAAGTTGCCTCTGGGTGGCCTAACACACTTTGGGTTAACAGCTGAGTAAGCTAGCCATCTGAATTACCTAGGGATCCCATCTCACAATCAGTGGTGTTATTATTTTTTTTCTTCAGTTTTTTTGGGGGGAAATAGGTGCTAAATTAAGGAGTAACTTGAATGTAATATGAAAATCTTTACAAAGGAAATTATGTTGAGAACTAAAATAATGACTTTTCCTTTGTTTTCTTGATAGACAAAGAATGCTGTTCAAGCTTTGATTGAGAAGCACCAAAGAATCCCAGGAAATATCATGAGTGCTTTGTTAGAACGCTTCCATAAAAAAGAAAAGGCCAACTAGGATGTGATTCAGTGTTTTTATCAATATGTTTGGTTCTGTGGTTCCGGGTGTGATTCAATGTTTTTATCAATATGTTTGGTTCTGTGGTTCCGGGTGTGATTCAATGTTTTTATCAATATGTTTGGTTCTGTGGTTCCGGGCTTCTAAGTTTTATTGGTTCTACAATTACAATGAAAAAAAAAAAATCATGTTTGTAAGTATCTTTCATGGAACTTGTTTACTTAACATTGTATTCTGTTAATTTTTTTTGCAATCAGTTGTGTCAAAAAACTCATATGCCTAATAATTCAGAAAATGATAATATTTCATTTGTAAGTTTTTAACATGGTAAACATATGGATTATTAAGGTTAGATTTATGAATAACAATTTGTTAAGCACTCCGAGTATTATATCTAATTTTTGTATTTGTTGCACTGAGCTAATTATGAGAAATGACGTAGCCTTCTGGAGAGACTTAATAAAAACAGCTCTCTTTTATCTGCGCTTATCCCCTCATGACCTCAGGCAAGTCGCTTACTGCCTTTGTGCCTCAGCAGTTCACTAAATATGATAATAGTAAGATGAGGAAAGTTGTTTTAAATTCTCATATTTCTGCAGTTGGTTACTGTAGAACTGAAATTATATCTGAAGTAAATAAAGAACACCAAGCTTTTTTACAGGTTGTGTGTGTTCCTTTGGATGTGTAAATCATTCCTTCAAACATGATCTCCAGTTGCCAAACATAATGAAAAAGGTATTGTTTTCCAAATCTAGTAAAAAGGATATTAGAATAACTAAAATTTCTAATGATTATTGTTTGTACGTATTTGTTTGCAGGAGTCTATAATAAAGCAATATATGCTATGCTGTGTATTGTCTAACATGTCATTTAATAATGTAAGGTTAAAAATCACTTGTGTGTCAAGTGGACTCTCACTAGATGAAAGTAGAGCTGAAGTTTTACTTTTGTTCAGTATCAGAGTTCATTCTGTTTGACTTTGCATCCAGTGAGTTGGTTTATGGTTCCAATAAAATATATGTGTATGGTAAATTTCTGTCAACAGAAAACTGAAAAATTAATGGCTTTTGATTCAGTGTCTCCTTGAAAATCTCATTTTAAATGTATTTAAACAGAAAAGCATCAAATCAAGTGCAGTATCTCCCTTTCCCTTTTGTAGATGTTAAATTACTTTGATATTTGTATAGACTTTTGATTACCATAGTGTATTTATAATACGTGTAATATACATAAAATGGAACAATGTAAAAATAAAAAGTTTAATTGCAATTCATTGTCCTGTGATTGCATATGTGACAGCTCAGCAATGGAGGAAATATCTCAGGAGTCAGCAATCGCCCTTCTCAGGAATCTGCGAGGTCTTTTTGTTGTTTTGGATAACTTCAGTAAGCAAAACAGGGTCAAGTCACACATCAGCTTCCCTCCTTTTTTCTGGGCCTAGCTGGCTGAAGAGAAATCCACCTATCTCCTTTGCCTGTGAAAATATAAACAAATAGCCCCTCTCTTCGGGGTGTCAGTGACCTGGAAAAAGAATTATGATTAAGCTTTTGTGGCTCCTTCATGTCCATCTTTCTCCAAAGGTGATTGCGTCCTTCTAAAGGGAGTCCATCAGCTTTATTATGCAAAAACAAATGCATAGGCCTTTCTCCAGGTGACAAATGGACCTGGATCCCAAACTTGATTTCTGTCTTCTTGGGACTCCTTAGGATCAGCTTTCTCTGTAGAAGTGAAAATGTGTTTATCTGCCCTAATTTTGTTACAAGTTTTTAGTAAGGAGAAAATATTTTTAGTTAAAATGACCAAATGAAATGCATTGTACATAAGATTACTCTTTTCCCCCTCCTGTTTTAACAATGCAAATATTAGAGCACTGCTAGCGGTCTCAGTTACCTTGCTTGGTCTTGAACCAGTAAGACTAATGGTTAGATAGCCTTCATTGTTATGTAAATATCAGCTCCCAGCTCTCAGAGAATTAAGAGAGCTGACTAATTGGGAGAACTTCTTACCATACTTTGAAAGACTGCAAAAAATTCTTAATAAATTTGTTCAGCTGTTCTTGAAGTAACTTACCAAACAGACATTTTTTCTCCAAGTTTACCAATAAGGTTACAGGCTCTTTACACTGTATGATTTTACCCTCTTGCAATATTCTGTCTTGATTAACTTCATTCATTCCTTCCATGCTAGATTTAGAGGAAGTTAATGGGAGGGTCTTAGGCCCTTGTGAATACGTTAAGGAAATGACCCCATATCCAGAACTTAAAAACCTTTTCCCTTCAATTTGTAATTCCATGTGGGGGTGCTGTTGTTTCCCCCCAGCAGCATTCCAAAAGACCCCTTCATTTAAAGGGTGGTCAGACTTCTTAAGTACCCTTTCCTGATAGCCATACATTTTTATTCTAGAAATGCAAGGAAGCAAAAACTGGCTTAAGCGATCTTCCTTTATAAACCATGGTATATCAGGTTTTACCACTGCCTTAATTTCTTCATAATCATGATCAATAACTCCAGCAATACCTTGAGAATTTAGGTTGGGCTTTCCTAATAAACATCCTATAGCTCTTTTAGGTAGCAGACCCCAATTACTGCTTTTAATAATTTCTGATTCAGTCATGGTTTTTTGCCTTTCCTCACAACTCTGATCAACTTCAGTATCAGTTTGAATTCCTTGAGTACTTAGGTTAAATCTTCCTGATAGAAACTGTATTGCTCTTTCAATAAGAAGCTCCGGCTTTTTAGAATTAGCACACTGCTGTGAGTTTCTGGGCCTTCTCTTGGTTAGTCAAGGTTATTGCAGCCAGAAAAGGGGCTGGGATTTTGCCTGTTTGGCTAGGTCTGGTCTCCTGCTTTGAGACTGGGAGATACCTGCAGTTTCTCTCTAAGATCTTCTTTGCTCCAGCAGGCAGACACCTTGCCTCCCATGCTCTGCTGGGCGGGGTCTGTATCAAGCTCCTTCCTCTATTACCTGTGCTCCGTTCAAAGGGGGTCGGAGCATGCCCTGCTACACATTTTTTGGCTTGACATTACTTCCAGGCTCTGCCCAGTAACTACCACTGTGGGGGAAAGTCAGATCCTTGCTGCCAGACTGCTGTCTCATCCCACCACGTGGGGGGTGGGGGGGAGGGCGGGGCCTGCTCCCTGCTGCTGGGGACAATGGACAGGCTCCTGTGGAAGGAGTTCGCATCCTACTGATAATGGTCTCTATCAGTTGGGCCAGGGACAGGCCAAACCGGCTGTCCCTCCTCTTCCTATAGCATGTATGTCCCTAGATCACCCCCTCCCATCACTGTAATACCTGTAGCACAACCCTTTCCTGTGACGTATGTCTTCACCTGTAATGTGGGGGCTTGGACTTCCCCAACGTCCCCAGAGAGTATAAAAGCTTGGGGAGCATTAAAGTTCTCTCTCTCCACGTGACTTACCAAGCGGGGCTGAGGTGAGCAATGCTACCATAAAATGTGTCTGACTCCATTTATTTCTATATATCTCTTTTATCTCTCATGCTCTCTATAACTTTACTATAATATTTACTTATTGTCGCTGTACAATTGCACCTACGGAACCCATAGTGATTGTGCTAGGAGCTGGCTTCTTCTGGCATACCTCTATTGCAGCAGGGGAAAAATCCAGTTTCCCCGGACTCTTTACCTGGGTCTTTTCCGCTGTGAATCGTCCTGTTCTTTTGTAATATCTGCCTGCAGTCTCTCTGATAATGGCCCTCTGCTTCACCTGTAAAGCATCTCCCTTTAGATCTGGTGTTACTTGCCAAAGCAGCAGCCATGAGGTGGGCCCTGTGCTTATCTGTCCTTACATCCCTGCATATCCTGATATAACCTAACAGCGTACTCTGTTCCTTGAAAGGGCGTATGGCAGCTTGACATGATATATTCGAGTTCTCAAATGCTAATGTAAGAATAAGATTATCTGCTGCCCCTTTGTCCACCACATTCTTGTGGACAGCATTCTGCAACCTGGATATAAAATCTATATAAGGCTCATCATTCCTTTGCTTCAGTGTCATATAACTTGGCCGTCTGCTTCCTGATGTTATTATTTTCTCCCAGGCTTTTAGACAAACTTCTCTTACTTGCGTGAAAGTCTGCTTATCAAAGTTTAATTGTGACTCAGTTGTGATGTAATTCTTACCTCCTAGCAGCTGATGAACCCCTATATCTCTGCCCTCTTCTGCATTTTTGTGTGCACATGCAAGGGCTGCTTGGTTCCACAGCATCTGATACTGCAAAGATTCTGAAGGTGAAAAACACACTTTCATCAAAGCTTTCCAGTCTGCTGGGGTCCAATATAACATATCTGCCATAGATTTGACCATACCAATTACAAATGGTGCATCTGGACCATAACTAGAAATTGCTTGTTTGAGATCTTTCAGTAGCTTAAAGGGAAAGGCAGTATATCGCCGTTCTTGATTTCCTTCGGGGTGCTGCTCGTCTGGCTCCCTGTCTATAATTCTAATGGGATAAGCCATTCTAAATTCTAAATCTGCTTCTTGAGCTATACTCTTCTCTGCCCGCAAGAGCTAACGGTGCTTCCTACTCTCTGGCTCTTTGCTTCTCAGTTTCCTAACCTCATTTTCTAGGTCAAATCTCTCTATTTGCATTTCTTTGCATCTAATCGCTTCTCCTCCAGCACTGGCTTGCTTGATGGTATTGTGATTCCCTACACTATATTCTGGCGGGGGCCTCTGCTATCTCCTGATTCAGACTTCATTTTCTCAGCTACACCTAAAATCTTCTCATCTGCCTGATACTCCTTCTGCCTGTTTCTCACCTGACTCAAGTCTGCCTAGCTTAGAGGCTTCTCACTGCTCTACTGGTCTTGTTCCTTCGCTCTCTTACCCTGCAGAGGCTCTAACACTGTTTTAATCTGCACCCACAGCTCGCAGGTCTCCATGAGTATGCTCTGTCCTTCCCTATGAGCTTTTCATAAGTTAATGGTTACCTTATCCCAGATCTCCATATCCAAGGTTCCTGACTCCGGAAAAGAAGGATTAAATTTCTTTACCACTTGAAGAAATTCTCATTCTCTTACTCGTTACCACTACATTTTGTTTCTTCAAGAGGTGGCAAAGCATGATACTGTACTCTGTATCCTTGATCTTTGCCTGACCCATATCTCACTTGGACTAAAAAACACTTAAAAAAATATAAACTCAAAAGAAAGTTTTTCCCGATTCACCCTTAGTGTCCGATGAGGCCGTACAATTGTTACACGGGATTTAACTCAAAAGAGTTCTTTTCCTACAGGGCCCCACATAATGGGTGCCATATGCCAAGGTACCTGCCTTAACACATCATCACAGGTCTGGTAGGCGCAATTGTACAGCGATAATAAGTAAAGATTACAGTAAAGTCATAGAGAGCATGAGAGATAGAAGTGAAAGAGAAGTAATGGAGTCAGACACATTTCATGATAGCAGTGCTCACCTCAGCCCCACTTGGTGCTCCATGTGGAAAGACAGATTTAATGCTAACCAAGGTGTTTATATTCTCTGGGGATATGCAAGCCCCTAATTACAGGTGAAGACATACGTCACAGGAAAGGGCTGTGCTATAGGTAATACAGCAATGTAAGAGGGTGGTCTAGGGGTATCCATGCAATAGGAAGAGGAGAGATTGAGGGTATATGTGTGATTAGATGGGCGGATCCCAGATTCAGGATGGCAGCTTAACTTTGGATGTCACAAGAGGGTTTGATCTGTGCTCTAGATCTCCATAAGAACCATTATCAGTAGGGTATAAACCCCACCTACAGGAACCAAGCTAATGGTCGCAAGCCTCAGGGAGAAGTAGTGCATTGTCCCCAGCAGCAGGGAGCAGGCCCACCCCATTGTGGGGTGAGACAGTCTGGCAGCTGATTGCCTCCAGGGAAATAACTTTTACCATTAGGTGCAAGCAGTGTCCTAAGTCTAACATATTTGGGGGAGATGACTTGGGAGACATCTTTCTGTTTCCCACACATACAATATTTTTAAGCTGGTTATTTTTAAGTTTTACCTTTTATACATTTCTCACCCACAGTTGTGTGCTTTTATCTCAGTCACAATGAACACATTTACTTTTTTCAATGTAATAGATTTTAGCTTCAATGAAAAGTCACCTGATGGTTACTTGCAGTTTTTCTCTCCTCCAGCAGTGAGCAGTGTTTGGTTAAAGTTGATAAGCACTTCGTGAATAAATGATCATCAAGTAATAGTTTAGGGGTAACTATTGGGATTAAAGACAGAAGAAAGAATAGAATTCATTTAAGAA